ACAGTCATCTACATATCTTTGGTAACTTATTATACCTCGGGTTTTATTGATTTCTTTATCAATTATCTCTGCCAATCTAGGACCTATGCAGGATCCCATTGAAATACCTTCCAATTGTCGGTAATATTTACCTTGAAATTCAAAAAAGTTATTATTTAACACTAAGTTAACTAATTGGTTAACCCAATTAGTTAAATCCTAATTATTCAGTTATCTAACTATCTAATTTATAGTCATGGGCTAAAAGTGTCATTTATTAAAATTTAAGCTGTCAAAATGTAGTCACTGAGCTTTCAATTTGTAACCAACACTTCAATTCATAATTTGAGATACAATATAGATATTATGGAAGAAAATTATTTGAGATAAACATGGAAAATATATTGAATTTAGGCTGAAAATGCAGAGGGGGGAAAAATAAATTTTGAGATAAATATGTTTGAGATAGATAAGTTCAACTGTGTATAAAGATAATAATAATGATAAAAATACAGTAGAGCATCATTTATCCGAATCAATTGGGAACTGGGGTTGTTCAGATAACTGATTATGTATGAAAAAATATATTAACCTATCCCATGTAGAAATTTTTCTCCATTGTGTGTCACTTCGTGTTGAACTTTTGTCAATGTTAAGCCTAACGTAAATTTTTTAAAATAATAATCATGGCTATTGTATTGTTAAAAATTATTTCTTTATTTTGTACAAACAAAATAAATATATTGAAAAATATAAAAACAAAAAAAATTATACAGTATCAGAAATGTTCGATTCACCATGACACAGTCCGACTGGAATGCTTTCGGGTAACCTATGTTTCGATTGATCGGCTTTTGGATAAATGACACTCTACTGTATATATATATGTATGTAATATAAAATGAATAAAAAGGTGTTAAAATAAATAATTCAGTTAGATATAAAATCAGCAAGTCAATCCTAAGCTATCAAGCTCAATTTTAACAGTTTGGTTATCATCAGTTATTTCAGATGAAGAGAACTTAAAAATGTTCAGTCAGTAATTGTTATCAATGCATACAAGACCCAGTAGTAATTACAATATATGCAGATTCTACTGTTGAATTTGAGATAAAAATATGGTTTAGTGTATTTCTTTATATTAACTAGAAGTACATTGAGATATAACAATGAAGTTATTTTAGGTACATAGAAGTTTTATTAGTTTTAATAATATAAAATAAATTATATTCAACAAAACTTTTAAAATGTGTTCAATTTCACATCTCAAATAAATAAATAACTTAATTAAATTCAAAACTTAACAGAAATGAGATAAATGCTTGAGTATTTATTCTGAAAAATATTTGAAAATATGTAATAAATAAAAGTTCTTTGTTATTATTTGGTATGTCTAATTATCAGGACGACAAACCAGAAAAATAATTACACAAATCAAACAAAAGATTAATAAAATATTTAAAATAGAAACTATTATGTAAAACTAATTTTTGTACATTATACACTCAATTCTTTACAATTTGTTTCTGAAAGATTTAAAAAATTATTTGCCATGTTCACAAAGCTTTCTGAATCACATGCAATTACTGTATTTACTCGCATACAAGACGAGGTTTTTATTCATTTTTCACTGCTTCAAAAACCTACATTGTCCTATATGCATGAGTGCAAGATTCTTTGCATTTTTGCAAATAATTTTTGTGAACTGTGTATTCACATTTTTTTACTGGATGCTTACCCTTTTGTATTTAAAAACAAAAGTATTTTATCTGAGTTGTTTCAATCATTCTTGTGTATTGTCAGGAGTAAAGATGAATAGCAATAGGAAAAGCAAAGCTTTTGAATTGAATTCCAGATTGAAATTCCAAAATCACATGGGATCCCGATATAAGTTTTAATCCAATTCCACGTGAAAACAGATGATTATTTGGAAATCAGAATTTGGAGAAACTCATAACTGTAATTGACAGAGAGTGGATTCAACTGTTAAGAATTGGCAAAAAAGGTTGCAGATATCCAGCTTTACATGAACAAATTATGTTGTCAATTTTACAAGATTTTTTCTTAAAGTTTAAAATGCCAGTAATTTTTGCAGGACAATGTGTCCATTTATGTGCATGTGATATTTTGTGATTAAATGAAATAAAGAAAATTAGATTAATACAATTCTAATTTTATTTTGATCTTTAAAGTCACACCTCGTCCTATATGTGAGATCATCTTATACATGAGTAAATACAGTATGTAAACTCACTCATTACAAATTCCTGGTATACTCATTGATATTTCATGTCCTCTATTTTAAACATGTTAAAAAGAAAAAGCCATTGTTCTTACTTATTTCTTATTTTATGACTAACTCCTTTTTTTACATTAAATTATAAATATGCAAGCAATTATTTATTGTAACATCATCACAATTCCAGGCTGCAATTTTTTATCACCTTTTAATTAAAAGAAATTACATGGCTTTTGGTACAGATGAGATACTTAATCAGTAGCTTCAGCCCCTAATAAGGTTGCATTCACACTGCTGACGATGACCATAGATCTTAAATAATGATGATGGCTTGTTTCTCATCGTTTTCATTCATTGCAAGTGTTCACATTGTTCATTAGTTTTCGTCTTACAGTATGTGCAATGTATTGTACATTAGTCTTAATGTTATTCTGTGGCTTTCTGCACTTTTAGACCAGATTCTTATGTTTTAAAATTGGATGAGTAAAATGATAATTCTTCAACTTTAATAGAGGAATTTACTACTTTTGTTAGGGTAAATATCAAAATGTCGATGGTAACCATAGCCATTCATATTGAGAAAAACAAGGTGATTTCCATGCTTTGGTCCAGGAATTACAATTAATTAATTAAAAGATATTGAAAAATTTTTAAAATAATTTTTGTATGTCTCCAAATACTTTAGACCAATGGTTCCCAATTAGTGGTATGCGTACCCCTGGGGTACGTGAAATTGTATGAAGGGGTACGTGCGGAAATCTAAAATTGGTCAATTTAAAATTTAAGTGCATGAGATGAAGCAATCAAAAAAATAATGGGTGGACCATCAAAAATTCAGCAATTTACAACATGGTGTCGAATGCACAAATTTCGTTTATTTATAACTAAAAATATTCTCGAAATTTCATGAAAAAAATCATTTGTGACAATACCTAAATGAAATTCTTAAAACGAAACTTTTATGAGCACGATCGGAAACTGTTTATTTTTTAAAATGCTTCGAGATTGATTTAAAAATAAATTAATAAATCCGAAATAAACAGATTTCAAATAGAATAAGTAAAATAATATTTTATTAATGATTTCATAAATAACGAGGAACTTTTTCCTGCAGATGTTCCCTCACCGCCGAAACCGAAACTAACCCTTTACAAATAAGTGCTATAAATAGACTCTCAACTCTGCCTGCATGAAATATAGACCTAACCAAATTAATCAAGATCGACAAGTACTTTATCCGCACCTTCCCAAATAATATGTTTCAATTGATTTGACTTCAATTTTAATTTACATTAATTAATTTTGATTTTATTTTTAATTTTAGCTACGGTTTCGGTTTTTGTTTCGATATAAAGAACAGTTTTAAAATTTTAATTTAATTTTAAAT